GGGAGGAGGAGGGGNGGGGGGGGTGGCGACAAGTATGAGACTGTGAAAGATGTGACGCAGAGCTCCTGGAGCAGTGTCAGATACGGAAAAGCAGTGATTCAGCAATGGAGGGGCAGTGGGTAGGCAGGACCGAGCGGGACTTCCTCCATAGAAGCACCCTAATGTTGGACAAGGTGACTGGCACCGCTTGGTGAATGGTGTTTCGGTTCCTGGGAACGCTGGCATCCGTCAGTGCCTCAAGTCGGCGTACCGTCCCTGTGGCTACCGAGAGCCTTCCAATGGGCGATTGTGGTTTGTACTCGACAACAAAGGCCAGATGTTGTTGCTTGGTACTCCATTGACATCATGGTAAACTCGGCACAGGACGACCTTCTCCTTGATATAAGGCATCTACTTCTTGCCAAAGTAAGCCTCCAGGAGGCTTGTTTCCCCGATAACACCGCCTTCCACAAGCTCGCAGAGTTTTTTATGGTTGGGCGCTTCCAAGCCAAGATATTCCGCCATCTGTACCAACCAGCCGTTGAACTCTCGAACTTCGGTTTGTTTCCCAGCCATAACATCCTGACACATGGAGCTCCTGTTGTCTTTCACCTTTTCTCCAACTCGTTGCAGCATTGCGTTAAGCCGCACAGCCGAGAAACGCTCTACGAGAGCTTCCTTGCTCAAGTCGGCGTCCGGGGCCGAGTCAGCACCAGAGAGAATATCTTTGCTACTCGGGTGTTGAGCCAAAGCCTGGAGTATTTGACTGGCCTCATCTACCAAAATGTCCATGAGCTTCTTCAGCTCAGGTGCTGGCTGGTCAAAAAGATGACCGTTCATGCAACGGATGACAGCTGTCAAGGGGTTGATAAGTGAGTTGATGATGAGCTTTTCCAGTTGAAGAACCCAGAGTGCATTCCGTGGCACTTTACGAGCCTCCAGCTCGGGCGCCCTCCCAATTTGTTCCATGAGGTAGTCTGCTGCGTGTGCCGTGTTTGGGTTGGGCAACACCAAGCCCATGGCGATATCAGCGGGAGCGGCATGAACACTCTTGAAGGTACCCAGAGAAAACACGCCGTGGGTCGTCACACAGACCAGCCAGTTCGGGTGTTGTCTAGGCGGGAAGCGATGCTCACTATATATGGCGCCGTAAGGCGGCCACAACTTGTTCATGCCATTCTGAACAAACCCCACAGTTGAGTTCCCATCGAGATAGCGCCGCAGTCTGTCTACCTGAGGCAGAGCGTCTGGAGCCTTGGTGGCGACCAAAAGGTTAGCGATCTTGTGCCCGTCACAGACCTCCCTCACAGGCCCATGTGTTGGTGCTTCCTCTGTCCACCACTCTACGTCGAAAGATGACATTTTTTCGGTAACGCCGTGTCGTGTCAGCTCAATACCCGGCTCGGAAACCCAGTGCTCTAACAAACTTTTCCGGTGAAGGACGAGTGTCACCGGGACTTCTTCACCCAGTTTTCCCAAGGAGTTGGCATAGAGCCTACCGAGGTTACCAATGCCAAGAATAAAGATGCGTCTTTGAAGATCCTTTGGCGTTGCCGACTGGAATTGTCCATTGTTTCGGCTATTTGGTAGGTTTTCGGGAGTCCAGGCATAGAGCTTGGGCGCAGCTGAAATACTTTGAGTGATGTTGTGAAGCCATGGTGGTAGTGTCACACCGTTCTTAGGGACTGATTGTGCGAGTAGGCGTGTTGTCGTCGACGTGTTTGTGACGAATCGAACCATAACAGCTAAAAGCACCTGATTAGAGCGAGGAATATGGGTCTTTTAGGGATTCTCGTGGTGGTAGAGAAGAAATGGAACTAAAGTTTGAGAGCAGAAGGAAAAGAAGATGAAAAGGATTCAGCTAAACTCATGTGATAGCATAAGGGAACCGGAAAAGAGAAATCGAAGCAGAGGAGATGCTCGCAATGAATGACAAAGTATATGCTACGCCTTTGTAACCTACATACCGTGAGCCTGAGTGGAAACAGAGCAAGCACTACGAGCCCCTGAGTCCGCGCTATGTTTTGTTGACTTGGTCGAACATCGATGCAATGCGCGCAGTCGCGATATCGGAATGCTTAGTAATCACTTTGCCCAGGTCACATGACGACGTGTCGGTACAAGTACGTCGCCAAAAGCAGAGGATCTCCAACGCTTCCGCGAACCCTGAACTTGCAATGCGTCATCGGGGGCCAGGGTTGAATATTGTTGCGCCTGCCACTTGCGCAAGTAATGCCTATCACACGCAGCAAAAGCGGGCGCAAAAAGCAGAGAACAGGCAACAGCACTGCAGCTTCGATCTGTAAACTGCGGCTTCTGACTTTTCATCGCAACAATCCATCATTTCAGTTCGTTTGCCTCCAGTTTGGAAGGCTCCGCTACGATCCGTCGCTTCTCTTATGCCACTCGTTTGATTCCGCCTGAAGTTGTACTACTTCCACCAGAAAGAGCTCACCTACCCTAGTATTCATCCCGTCCATTGCAATATTTGACCACACTGTCCATCGTCCCTCGCTTCTTTGTCACCTGGAACCAGCCAAGATTTTCAGCCAACGCCGAGATCTTAGACTAGACAGTCGACAATTACAAGCGCTATACCTGTTTGCCATTCCTCCCTCCATTTTGCTTGCTCTAGTCAATGGCATTGCATTCTTTCTTCCATCATGGACCCTGATACAACTCAATTATCCAAAACAACCGAGGCCTTGCCCGAGTCGACGCCCAGTGTCGAACACACAGAAGCAATGACACTCGACAACAAAAACTCCACCGCTGATACACCAAGTGCGCCAAATGCTGACGAGCTCGACGAAGAGGCTGCGCTCAAGAATCTCACTGAAAATGTTCGAGACCAAGACGATTTGGAACGTGATATCACCCTACAAGCCAGCCGTGCCTTGATCGAAGCCGAAGACAAGAGAGATCAGAAACGCATCGAAAAGGCCGAGGCCACTCGTGCGAGACTCGAAAACCAGAAGAAAACACAGCAACAGAAACTGCGGCCTGGCATCACCAATCCAACTGCACGATTACGCATACAACAGGAGATAGCGCGAATTGATGCCGAAATCGAACTTTGCGACAAAGACATTGCCGATTTCCGTGCCCGCATCGAACAGCGCAACCAGCAGGGCGAGACGGGTACACTGGCCCCGGCCACCGGCAAAATACTCCCTAACGAGACCCAACGAGAATATCTCATCCGAACGGGCAAGATCACGCCGTTTGCCAAATTTGGTGGACCCAGACCTGCCGAGGTTGAAGGTGAACTCGCCAACGCCATTGTCGATGCAGAAGACGAGGCTGTCGCTGAAGAGCTGGAAGAAAAGGAAAACGACGGCCCTCGATCCCATCAAAATCTTCGTCTCCCTGGCTTTGCCGACGAAAATGAGGTCGCTACCGTAGCTGTCGCAGACGAATTTTCTCTACGTTCTCGAAAGAGGCGTAGGGTCCAGCCGCCGCCCGAATCCGACGATGAGTTTGTGCCGGGAGAGTCTGGATCTGAAGCGGCTTCTCCTGAGGCCGACGCATCCGACGATTACGATGATTATGAAATGGCGGGCAGCACACTCAAGAAGCGGAAGAAAGCAGTCAGAGAAGCCGATGGTGATGACAAGGTCGATCTGATCGGGATCGATGATGGCAACGAAAAAGTCTATCAAGCAAGATTGAAAGGCTGGGTAACGCGCAGGAGCAATGCACGACGGGCTCGTCAGCAGAGGCTCGGCCAGCCAATTGATAAGGATGATGATGGGACAGAGGAATGGTTCAAGCCAGCGCCTGACCAGCCTGACCACCAGTTCGAAAACGGGCTGAAATTGCCAGGTGACATTTACCCAGCTCTCTTCGACTATCAGAAGACCAGCGTACAGTGGCTAGCTGAGCTGTACGCGCAGCAAGTTGGAGGTATAGTTGGAGATGAGATGGGTTTAGGAAAGACTGGTATGTTCTCTCCGATGTCCCCCCTGGGAATCCACGGAACGTTGCTGACGAGATGTAGTGCAACTGATTTCCTTCGTGGCTGCGTTACACTACAGTCAAAAGCTCGACAAACCCGTCATTGTTGTAGCCCCGGCAACAGTTTTGCGTCAATGGGTAAACGAGTTTCACCGCTGGTGGCCACCACTTCGAGTATCCATCCTTCACTCGTCTGGCAGTGGCATGCTCAATGTCCGCAACGAAGGAGCGCTTGATGACAGAGAGGATGACTACGGCAAGAGAAAGCCTAAAAAGTCCAGCCAGGCTGCAAAGAAAATCGTCGATCGCGTTGTTAAGCATGGCCATGTGCTGGTGACAACTTATGCCGGTTTGCAGACGTACGGCGATATATTGATCCCGGTCGACTGGGGCTATGCTGTTCTGGACGAAGGACATAAAATCCGAAATCCAAACACAGCAATCACCATTTACTGCAAGGAACTTCGGACGCCCAACCGTGTGATTCTTTCCGGCACGCCAATGCAGAACAACTTGACAGAGCTATGGTCTCTCTTTGATTTCATCTACCCCATGCGTCTCGGCACCTTGGTTGCCTTTCGAAATCAGTTCGAGATCCCGATCAAACTTGGCGGTTATGCCAACGCAACCAATCTTCAGATCATGACTGCTCAGAAATGTGCAGAGACGTTGAAAGAGACTATCAGCCCCTACCTACTTCAGCGGCTCAAAGTAGACGTGGCTGCCGATTTACCCAAGAAAAGCGAACAGGTCCTATTTTGTAAGCTGTCCAAGCCCCAGCGCGAGGCGTACGAGCTATTCCTCAAGTCGGATGACATGACTGCCATTCTCAACAGGACGCGCCAGTCCCTCTACGGTATTGATATCTTGCGTAAAATATGTAATCATCCCGATTTGCTTGATCCGCGGCTCAAAGATGATCCCTCTTACAAGTGGGGCAGTACCAGCAAGTCGGGGAAAATGGCAGTGGTGAAGTCATTACTTCCCATGTGGAAACGTCTAGGCCATAAAACGCTGTTGTTCTGCCAGGGTACTCAAATGCTGGACATCATCGAGGCATTTGTGAGGCGCCAGGATGGCATCAACTACCTACGTATGGATGGCAAGACGCCCGTCAAAGATCGGCAGACGCTTGTCGACCAGTTCAACAATGACCCGGACTTACATCTCTTCCTTTTAACCACCAAAGTGGGCGGACTTGGCACCAACCTGACGGGAGCTAACCGGGTCATCATCTTTGACCCAGACTGGAACCCATCAACCGATGTCCAGGCCAGAGAACGTGCATGGCGGTTGGGACAAAAGAAGGAAGTCACTATTTACCGGCTTATGACAGCTGGAACCATCGAAGAAAAAATCTACCACCGCCAGATCTTCAAGCAGTTCCTGTCAAACAAGGTATTGAAGGACCCGAAGCAGCAGACCTCATTCAATTTAAATGACCTTCATGACCTGTTCAGTCTAAGCTCGTATGAAGACGGGAAGACCGAGACAGCAGAGCTATTTAAGGGCAGTGAAGTCAAACGCCTGCCTTCAGGACCCACGGAGATAGTCTTGCCTGGTAACGACACGCCAGTTCTCCGGGCCCCTGGAGCCAGCAAACCAGTGGAAGTCAAGGACGAATCCACAAGTGAGGACGAGACAAGCAACCTCCGTCATCTTGAAGGAGTTGCAGGATTGGAAACATTCAACGACGATGGACCGGCCCCTGCACCGAACGAGGAGGACCGTCTGATGGAGGGTATCTTTGCACGTTCCATTCACAGCGCTCTGGAACACGACGAGATCATGAACGGCAAAAAGCCAACGGTCAAGGCAGACCGCAGAATTCTCCAAGCAGAGGCGGACCGAGTTGCTGCTCAAGCGGCCTTGGCTCTCCGCCGTGCGGGTGAGGAAGCCAGAAATGTGCCCATCGGCACGGTCACTTGGACGGGCGAGTACGGCGAAGCTGGTCGTCCGGCGCCCCGTCATGAACGCGGAGGTTCCAGCTCAGTAGGTGTTCGCGGTGCAGCAGGCGGTGCGGGTCCGTCGAGAGCGTCGAGACCGGCGACACCGTCTGATAACAGAAACCTGAAAGCAGAGGACTTTGAAAGAATGATTCCGGCGTTCATTAAACGACATGGTGGCAGGGTCCCATCGAAGTCGCTCGTCGACCACTTCAATCACTATTGCACGGGAGCGAGACAGGCAGATATGTTCAAGGTTGCTTTGGAGAAGGTGGCCAAGTTAGAGAAGAAGGGGTCGAGCATGCGTGGCATTTGGACTGTTCGTCCGGAGTATCAGTGATGTTCTTTCGGACAATGCACGGATAAGGTTCACAATGGCAGCCAGAGGTATAAGGGCGGTTTTGATCTCGAACTTGCCAAGACGGACTGGAATCCTGAACTACATCAATGGATTTGTACAATATTTAGATGGTGGTCTGGAGAAGATTATGGAGGACATCATTGGGGTATGTATGCCTGGGAGCTTACACCACCTTGGAAGAGAATGGATGGTTTATCGCGTCGCCTTTTCGTTGCGTTTATGATACCAACGTTTGTAGCTTTTTTTTTTTTAAAAATAGATAAAAGAAAACAGAAACCAAGCGTCGACTTTAATCATGGCCAGTCTTGCCTGCTTAATCAATCGCTTAAATAAATGGTTGTAAAGATTTGGTAACCAACAGACTAAGGTGCTCTTCACGCTCCAGTACTAACAGCGACAATTCGCTGCCTTTATCAAACGCACAAACCTCAACTTGAACATGATATCGAGCACATCTGACAGCGATGTGCAAGCCCAAGAGACTGGAGCCGGAGCCGGACTGAGACTCGGCAATGTTGTCACTTCGGATGCAGTTTCCAATGCCGGCAATGTAACCGATCGGGCGCCACCACCGCTCTTACCAGGAGACTATACAGTGTACAACCGACTGGCCGAGCAGATGGACTACTTTGTCTGTGCTCATCCTTTCCTGCACCCTATTCCTCGATATCAAATGAAAGCACAATCACTTTCGCTCGATGTGCAATACGCTCGACACAGCTTGTACCTGTGACAACGGTAGTCAAGGCACAGCAGCACTGACTGAGCGACAACCCATAGAATACGGGCTCCGTCTCACTCGGTACCTAGAAGCTCACCAATCCATCAAAGAAGACTTGCATGGTCTCCTTATAACAAAGCAAATGCTTCAATTCCGAGCTGCCATCAAGGCCCGTGATCGTCAACGTCATCGTCATCATCATCATCAGCATCAGCATCATAAGCGAAACGGAAGAAGAGTATCAGGGGGCCGAAGGAGGACATGGAAGAAGCAGCAAACCGTGAATTAACCCAACAACACCGTACCATCCACTTGGGCATGGAGCAGTTCGAAAAGGACCTGAAGAATTGCAGGAGCTAAGAGGAAGCGTTTAACCTGCCGGTGCTGAAGCATTTGGATCAGGAGGTGGAGGAGTTGGAGCTGAGAGAAGAAGATGAGTAAGTTTTGGAGTTTGGAGGAGACGAAGAGATTGTTGTTGTCCGAAAGAAACCAAGAGGGCAGGTCAGGGAAGGGGTTTGAAGGTTGTGACTGTAGTGATCGAGAAATGTTTCAGGACATGGAAGTGGTGGTTTGTGTTGAGAGTGTGGCTGATGGTGGTGGACTAGACCAGGCGGTGGTGATGGATTTATTGCCACTCTTTGTGTACATCCTGGTCGGCTGCGGAATGGACTGGAAGTTGCTGCTCCCTAAGTCTTCAGATGGGAGATGGATGGCGATATGAGGTCTAAGTACGGCTGTGTAGAAACATGCTAGCATCAAGCATGACATGTATGTGAACAGGCAACTGCTATAGCATGTGGTCAAAAACACAGATTCTCTCTTCCGTTCCCTGACAGGTGAACGACGACGGATGATTGCCCAACAACCGCGACGCGCAGCAAAGACTGCCAAGCACAATCCACCAGTGAAGCAAGAACCCTTCTGGCAAAGCGGAGTCGGTGAACCAGGTGACGCCAGTTCAAACAAAGTGGACTTCTGCCTGATTAGTAAGGCCACACATGCCTTATCGGCGCTTTATCTTTGCCTATCTGTGCTTGTCAACAGTGAAAGAATGCAAGCCCGCCAAGTGTTGCCAGTCGGGTCCAGTTTTTTTTTTTTTTTTTGGTGCCAGACCGGCCCTACATGCCCGGTAGTCTGGGGGACAGGTATGGCAATGGTCCCCTCAAATCCGCCTTCGCTGTAACGACCTGACTACAGTGAAAGGGAAGGGAAGAAAAAAAAATATTTTTCTGGGGCACTTGCACGCAAGGGACGCGTTGCGCCTTCCGCCTCCAACAAAAGGAAAGACTTTTTCTTCCCGCTTGGAGGCGAGTCGGGTCTGGCACAGGATCCGCATCTCACATCCACTAGCACTGCACAGCGGAACCCACCAATCCTCCATCGACATCTCCCTTTGGTCAGGTTCTTTTCCCATACTAACCTTACGTGACGGGTCCTTGTCCAGTGCCCCCAGAGTTTTTTTCGTTTCGACTTCCGTCCAGAAAAACTTGCACTTCACCCTTCGCAGCAGCCCTTTTCTTCCTTCCTTCCACCCACCCTCCATCTCCAATATCCCTTCCCGCCTACTTCTCGCGATTCTGCAAGATTCTTCATCTGCGATCCTTCTCTAACCAGTCGGATTGCTTACTTGTAACCACTTCACGCGTGTCGTTTGGTTCTTGTCTCTAGACGTCTGTCTTTTCCGACGTCTTCTTTTCCCGACAATCGATACCCTTGCGCCTCTAGGCCTTGTTTGCTCGTCGTTTCGGTCTACCCTTCAGCAACCCCAATAACAACCGATCTTCAATCGTCAACCTTTTCTTAAACAACCAGCAAACATGTCCGGATCTTACGGCGGCGGCGGCTACGGTGGCCGCGGTGGCGGTGGTGGTGGTGGATATTCTAACGGGTACGATCGCAATGGCGGCGGCTACTCTAACAATCACTCCTCACACGGGTATGATGTTTTAGCGCGAACCTGCTCATTTCCTTTCTCTCTCTCTCTCTCTGCATTTCAAGATCAAATCGCTAACATCTGGTTCAACAGTGGCTCGAATGGCTACGGAGGCGGCGGCGGAGGATATGGCGGCGGTGGTGGTGGCTACGGAGGCGGCGGCGGCGGTGACAGGATGTCTGCTCTCGGTGCCGGTTTGCAGAAGCAGAACTGGGACATGAGCGCTCTTCCCAAGTTCGAGAAGTCCTTCTACCAAGAGCATCCTAGCGTCGCCAACCGTTCTCCTGCTGAGGTCGACAAGTTCCGCGCAGACCACTCCATTGCCATCTTCGGTAACAACGTTCCCAAGCCTGTCGAGACCTTCGACGAGGCTGGTTTCCCTCGTTACGTTATGGACGAGGTCAAGGCTCAGGGTTTCCCTGCTCCTACCGCCATTCAGTCGCAGGGCTGGCCCATGGCTCTTTCTGGTCGCGATGTCGTCGGTATTGCCGAGACCGGTTCCGGAAAGACGCTCACCTACTGCCTTCCCGCCATCGTTCACATCAACGCTCAACCTCTCCTCGCTCCCGGCGACGGTCCTATCGTCCTTATCCTCGCCCCTACCCGCGAGTTGGCTGTCCAGATTCAGCAAGAAATCTCCAAGTTCGGCAAGTCGTCCCGCATTCGCAACACCTGCGTCTACGGTGGTGTCCCCAAGGGTCCCCAGATTCGCGATCTTTCCAGGGGAGTCGAGGTCTGTATCGCCACTCCCGGCCGTTTGATCGATATGCTTGAGTCTGGCAAGACCAACCTCCGTCGTGTCACCTACCTTGTCCTCGACGAGGCTGATCGCATGTTGGACATGGGTTTCGAGCCCCAAATTCGCAAGATCATTGGTCAGATTCGCCCTGATCGTCAGACTCTCATGTGGTCCGCTACCTGGCCCAAGGAGGTCCGCAACTTGGCCGCCGACTTCTTGACCGACTTCATCCAGGTCAACATCGGTTCCATGGATTTGGCTGCCAACCACCGCATCACCCAGATCGTCGAGGTTGTTTCCGAGTCCGAGAAGCGTGATCGCATGATCAAGCATCTTGAGAAGATTATGGAGGGCCGCGAGAACCAGAACAAGATCCTCATCTTCACCGGCACCAAGCGTGTCGCTGACGACATCACCCGCTTCCTCCGCCAGGACGGCTGGCCCGCTCTTTCCATCCACGGCGACAAGCAACAGAACGAGCGTGACTGGGTTTTGGACCAGTTCAAGACTGGCAAGAGCCCTATCATGGTTGCCACCGACGTGGCTTCTCGTGGTATCGGTATGTATCCATCTTACCCCTCCGCCCTGCCCAAACCCCTCCCCCCCCCTTCTTCTCTCCCCCATCTCAGGCGACTTCCAGCATACGTATGTGCTTGTGCTTTACTCTTATGTCTAGGGGCTCTCTTGATTGCGCGAACTTGCCTGACCTTGTGTCGACTCGGTCTATCTGAGTGGAGTCTTGGGTTCGTGACGTAGCAGAAACAGTGGACTATGCTACGCCCGCGTGATTCTTCAATTGTACCTTTTTATCCCAGTTGTGGTACAAGCGAGGAGTAGGCATTTCTTGATTCCCGTCAAGCTTGTCTCCAAGATTCCCAAGGGGATTTGCATGCATGGCCCAAGGATCTCTGGAACCTTGGATCCCAACCCGGCATATTTTTCGCAATGGACAGCCCACCTGCCAAGGAGAGAAGTACTACCAGAGGATCACAGAACATAACTAGATATTCGTGTTCTCCGTCCGTTCTGGAATGTCGTTATTCCAAACCCTGCTATTGCTAACCACGCTCCTTCAAATAAGATGTGCGCAACATTACTCACGTGCTCAACTATGACTACCCCAACAACTCCGAGGATTACATCCATCGTATTGGCCGAACTGGTCGTGCTGGTGCGAAGGGCACTGCCATTACTTTCTTCACCACTGACAGTAAGTGTCACCTGAATCTGCCCATTCTTAGCCGAACGAAATGCTAATGTTATTCCTCCACAGACTCCAAGCAGGCTCGTGAGCTCGTCGGTGTCCTTCAAGAAGCTAAGCAGCAGATTGACCCTAGACTTGCCGAGATGGCTCGCTACAGTGGTGGTGGAGGTGGCCGCTTCGGTGGCTATCGCGGCCGTGGCGGCGGTGGATGGCGCGGTGGTAAGTCATTTTCACGCAGGTGAATTTGGCAGTCCCAATCCTAATAACCCTCATTAGGCCGTGGCGGCGGTGGTGGCGGCGGCTCCGTCGGTGGTGCTAATGCCCTTCCGCTTAACAACCGCCGGTGGTAAAGCACCACTTGAAGCGAAACAGCACATATCGATTGACCTTCCTGGTCCAATCCATTGTCGCCATGGTCATTCCACACGACGAATGGCCCATTACAGCGACAATCTCGACCTCGAACATGATCACGGCGTTTTAGTAGAGGATACGGTCTAGAGGTTGGTTTATTGCTTTCAGACGCTCACTGGTGTCTGTTTTCACCTTGACGCCTAGGTGGTATGGGTGTGGCTTTGTTCTTTTTTTCTCGTATTCCCTTATTGTCATGCTTTGCGGGTTACTATTTTCACTGAGGTCAGCCGGGGTTCCAAAATTTTCCTTTATTTTTCCGGAAAGTCTCATCTACAGGTCATGTTGCACCACCACTGCACTTGCAGATCATCAAACCGTCCAGGTCAAGATGGCCGGGTTTTATACCCTTCACCATATCTCGTCATGCCATTGCTCTGTCAAGGCATTATGTGACTTATGACGACGGCTTATCAGTCGAGGTGTGAACAAGAGATTTCAACTCTCTTGTTTCCCTAACAGGACGGGCGCAGGAATCTCGCCTCTCATCCTCGTTGATTAGTGATGATCTTACCGCAGACTTGTGGTAGCAGTCGATAGGTACTATCCTCAGCTTTTTGTGTTGTACATTAGGAAGAGGATCCTTTTCAAAGCATCACGGCTTGAAAGATTTTTGAAGGATCTGTCTAGTCACCAAGAGAGTCAGAGATAAACACGCGCTTTGTTTGCGCCCTTGGGCGCTGCAAGACTACTGCTCACCAGCTGGGTGGGATGTTACGGTAATTGTCACCGAGAGAGGGTAGTAGAAATGAACTGGGTAGGTCTCAAAGAAAGATACCCTTTATGCTTAGATGGGAAAGAACATTTACGCTAGAGGTCTCTGTCCTAGCTCGCTCTCTATGTGATTGAGGTTGAATGTTTTGAGGTCTACGCTCAAGTAGATGTCTCGCTCAAGTGTACCTGTGACGATGGCTCAGAAATCTAGGGTAATTCAACGATTTGATTCTGGAATTTTTTCGATGAAGCTGTAGGTTTCACGTCGATGAGTCCTCTCTACGAAGTTGTCCTTCACTTCCATACAGAATATCAATATGAACATCTCCCTGATATATGTGTCTCGTAACATTCGGTTTAAATGCTCTGTACTTTATGTTCGCAGAGTATTTTCGGTTCTACTCTCTCACTATGAGGTACTGATTGACTATAGAGAAGCCGTTTGGCACAATTTGTGCTGCGTTTCAAGGTTAGTATGAATTGTGTGCTTTGATAGGTTAGTCTTGTGATTAGGTCAGAAAAAGGAGCAACCTTCCAACCAGGGACTTGCGGGTTTCAGCGTCACGACTACTATAGCGTTATGATTCCGGTGTTGATTTTGGTAAATGGCCATCAGGTCATCATATGGGTTCGAGTGTCTGCTGAGGTCCGATCGTCAAGTGATTAATGATAGTGAGGAAGGAGCGATTCGAGGTAAGGAGAGAACGACTTGAGGTATGCATGTTGTGAAGAGGCTAACGAGTGGCAGGTGCGATAGATGTGAGTTTTAGCAGCACGTTCAGTTTCTATGAACCTCTTCCTGAATCATTCGCGTGAATATGTCTTGCTTGCGCTTGTCGAACTTCAAGCCAGCGATTTTCCTCCGCCTCAAGTCCTAGACGAATGAAAGTTGGCTGTAGAGCACTCAAACAAGGGTAACCGGCCCCCACCGTTTGCTGTCCAGGACCTCTCGGTCTCCATCTTCGAATGTATGAAGATCTTTAAGATGGCAAGCAAAAGCTGGACCGATGACTCTGTACTTGCCACTGACCCCCTGCTTCCGCATTATCATGGGCTGACCGACACCATCTATCAGGTATATCTCATCTCCCTTCTCTATCCCGCTCGGTCCTTTTCCAACAAATCCGTCATTCGAAACAAACAAGCTGGTAGTGCCGGCAAAACCACGGCAGATATAATCAGTAAATCTGCGCGCTTGAAACTCCCGCTCTGACAGCGCCAATTCAACCAACTCATGCCTAGAGGCATCATCATAGCCAGGTGAGGTCAGAATCTTGTGCCATCGCCTGAAGTCCTCTTCACACCAATCTGCTGGCGATGACTGACTGGATGGGCACAGCGTCAGAGATATCGAGAACGAGCTGTACTCGCACCGGGGCGTTTGTCGTGCGTATAACTCGACGAGCTCTCGCCGCCACTCGTCAATAGCAGTGAGGGAGCCACGCCATACGGGCTCAACGCTATTGACCCGTTCTTCGCGTCCGATAGGCTGTGAAGTGTAGCTTAATTCTCCAATGAAGAATCCCTTGACGACGATCTCGGTTTCCGAATTCCACTTCACCAAGTCAAAAGAGTCTGGCCTTGACGGATCTTCGATGCGGCTGTAGATAGCATCATCTTTCACCCAATGTAGCTTCTCTGATCCCCAGCCCGGAACCCAGCTCGGTGCTCCTTGCAGTGCTGACCCTTTTACGTCCGATAGAAGGGCGATACACGATGGTTCCCGTTTTACCAACTCGATGTATAGCTCGTGGTACACCTTCCCCAGCGGTTTTGTGTAATCAGGCTGTGGAAGCGAGATACCCAGTCGCTTCAGCACACCATGCGTGGCAAAGGATTTGTCGTGGGCCTTTTGGGCCTTACGGTCCCTAAGGACGCGGATGATTGCAACCAGACCGTTGGCCGCATCGACGTCGGACTGCGCATGTGTCCCTACAGTAGGATAGCCCATGGTAAAAGAGAGGTAACCAAGGAATGGGATAAGATTGGTGCCAATAAGGAATGTTGCAAACATGGAAGTAAAGAAATATAATCTTTTTGCGGAGGCATCAACCAATAAAAAGCTACGTATAGCCGTTATTGCGATGGCAACGAAAACTGTTAGGAGTCCGACGTATGGGAGTAGAATCACGGGTCTAACTTGATTCCAAATTCTCCCGATGTTGAATTGGCCTTCGTATTTCTTGACGGAGAAACAGTTTGCATAGCTTCCGCTCTGTAAGCTGTTGCCGTTCTGCTCTGTGCCATTCAGCTTGGGCACGCTGCGAAAAGCTCGTCCATTCCAGCTCGTGGGACGAGAAACCGTTCTCCAGACGTGGAAAAGGTTCGACCATCGCTGTGAAACAGCTGATATTGTCATAGACTCGTCAACATGACTTATCAAATCGCGGCCAGTTTGGAAGTCTTTCGAAATAGCCCAGCCCTTGAAAAGCTGGTACCGCACCTCAATGGATTTAGTGAGCCCGATTCTGCTGCCCCAGCTGCTACCTGTGCTTGGAAACGACGGTCTTATTCGATCAAGGCAGTCGAGCCCCTGCTGGAGTTGCGCCCAACCGATCGTCTCCTCTCCACAGACAATGATGGGATTGCTCGCCAGCACAATCTCCTGGAACGTCCACACTCGCTCCATCCACTCGCTATCCAGCAAGAAATCGATATCTCCGGACGCGAGCAAACCGCCCTTCTGAGGTCTGCCAAGGGCACATGCTTCGAGAAACGATAGAACGGGGTGCCAGTAGGTCCGCAAGAAAACCCAGACCATGCTCTTGGCCAGTTGCATCTTGTAGTACGCCACCGACCTCGGACCGCGGGCGGCGTACATGCCTTTTTCAATCCATGGCACCCCAACAAGCGCAATCCTGAGTTTTGCCGCTCTCTCCAAACCCCTTACGGCCCTGGCGGTCCTCTCGTTCCCTTTCCCCAGCCACACCCACACCGTCCTCGCCCACGTGTACACCTCAGCCATTAACCCAATTTGCCCGGCTTTCTCCGTGTCATCAGCCTGGTTGATGCAGATGGCATCAATCCAAATAGTAAGCGGGAGAGTTGTCCTACTCCGCACCAGACCTCCCGCATAATGCCGTTTTCGAAGAGCGAGAAGTGCATCGCGGCCGTTCTTAGTAATGGGTATGTCACAATAGCCATTGCAACGGATGGTGTCCACGATAGGAGAAGAGTAAGAACCCCAGGTGTATGAAAGGGCGGTAAAGGCGGGGAGGTCGGATAGATGGACTACGCGGAGGGTACCCCGGAGAGGAGCGTCTGGGTTCTTTCTTGGGTGGGGTGGATCGATGTCCAAAACGCGAACGGAGGGGTTGGAAGGGTCTAGGCGGAGGTGGGAGTATAGTTGTTGAGGGGTCAATTGGATTTGAGGAGTCTCATCTTGGATTTCGTTGGAGTGATTCTCGTCGTTCATGGCCAAGAGACTGATACGGCCGTTGTCGGGAATTCTTATGGCAGCAGAATTCGGCGTCACGGTTTCTTGCAATTTGTCGAACAACGTCTTGATGGCTTCCATCTTTGAATTGTTTCATTTGGCGTGAATGATGACCTCTCTGAACTCGTCACCGTCAACTCGAAATAAAGCTTCAATATATAATCAAGGCCACAGTAAGGCTGTATATAGGTCTAGCGAGTTGGTTGGTCAGGAGGCAAAGTTGCAGGGGCAGTCATTAATGCACCGCCGCAACTCCGCCTCCCACAAATGAATACTCAAACAGGCGCATTGTGACTAGCTGGTAAGCAGTGACGACTTCTCTTACGGAATTAAGAAAGAGTCTTTTAGACTTTGAAGACGTTCATAGATCAAGTGAGGTGCCGATCTCACTGCCACTCGAAAATCCTCAACTGTCAGGCTATGGAACTTCTTACCAGCAATGAAATCTGAACAAGTGACCTAGGACCCACTGAGACGCTGCTCATCATTAGATAGTCCTTCCCATAACGCTTTCAGACATCCACGCTTTGTAAATTTGTGGATTTTTTGACTTGGGCGGTGGTAAACAATCCACAGGACTTTGTTCTTGTGTCACCAAGACGGTGGCGTAGCGCCATCACAGTTGGTGTGTGCTGATCCTGTTTCCTTTAGGCTTTCTTCATGTCGGGTGCCTCTGGTTCATCAGACAGCCATCGATCAATAAAGTCCGAAGTTACTCAGAACTTGAGCGCCTTGCCACCCTGCTTGGGATAAGCAGAGGTTATCGGCTGCATATCAACCGCCACAGAAACATCAGGAGTGCCAAACTCCGCTGCCTCTTCAGTGATAGCGATGCCTTTGAGAAAGGTAATCGGCTCGGAACTCAAGGACTTCATTACTTTTTCATCTTGCCCCGCGACTGAAATTGGCGTCAGAGGTCTTGGACCTCTTCCAAATTCGCACTGAGAACGGTGCCGTCTAGGACTCGGCTTTCTCGGCAACGCCCGATTGCTGAAAAACATGATCTCGTCCATGTTGGGTCGGGGAAGAGGTGTAGTGCATGCCTCGACGTATACCTTACTCTTCAGGGTTTGAATTGGGCTAGGATTGTACTCCTCTTCGAACTGCATAGGGATCTGATATTCGTCCGAAAATTCAGGACAAGGCCTGGCCAATGTGCTCTCTGTTCCCCTTTGACGCTCAGAAACTGGCAAATCGGTCACCGAGGAGATGGCCATGTTTCTCATTGCGGGACTGACTTTCAGTGAAGCTGGGCTATGGAATAGTTAGATGGGATACTCATTAACAGTGGGAGAGGCCAGATACAAACCTGCGCCCATTGCAGACGAGATAACGGGTATCGAAAGTAGGGAGTGTCTCGGATTCATTGATGCCATCTTCCGGGGTGTTTCGGGGTGTCGGTGGAGGAGTCCACGGAGGTCGAACATGGAGAAAATCGTTCGCAAATGAACCGTTCGCGTACGCAAAGTCGAACGTATCCGTTGAGGAACCAACCATACATTGTGAATGGGGATGCGTGCCAGGCGGACTCAAGCGGCACGGTAATACCGGAGTGATCATGTTCCCGGCGTCAGAGGAACCATCATGCGCAGCCATCCCGAGGTACTGGTCAGCGATATCCAGGGCCTCATTGCTTTGTATAGAGAGCCAAGCGTTGGCC